TCCAAGGGGTGCCCCCTCCCCGTATATAAAGGGTGGAGGAGGGGGAGGGGCCGGCCTCCTATGGCACGCCCCATGAGGAGTCCTACTCCAACCAAGAGTAGGACCCCCCCTTCCAAGTAGGAGTAGGAGAGAAGAAGGAAGGAGAGAAGGAGAGAAGGAAAGGGCGGCGGCGCCCCCCTCCTTGTCCAATTCAGACTAGAGGGGGAGGGGCGCGCGGCTGCTCTGGCCGCCCCTCCTCTTCTCCCACTAAGGCCCATTAGGCCCAATATACTCCCCATGGGGTTCCGGTAACCCCCTGGTACTCCAGTATATGTCCGAAACCTCCCGAAACACTTCCGGTGTCCGAACAAAGTCGTCCAATATATCGATCTTTACATCTCGACCATTTTGAGACTCCTCGTCATGTCCGTGATCATATCTGGGACTCTGAACTACCTTCGGTACATCAAAACACAAAAACTCATAATACCGATCGTCACAGAACTTTAAGCGTGCGGACCCTACGGGTTCAAGAACTATGTAGACATGACCGAGACACGTTTCCGATCAATAACTAATAGCGGAACCTGGATGCTCATATTGGTTCCTACATATTCTACGAAGATCTTTATCGGTCAAACCGCATAACAACATACGTTGTTCCCTTTGTCATCGGTATGTTACTTGCCCGAGATTCGATCGTCGGTATCTCAATACCTAGTTCAATCTCGTTACCGGCAAGTCTCTTTACTCGTTCCGTAATGCAATATCCAGCAACTAACTCATTAGTCACATTGCTTGCAAGGCTTATAGTGATGTGCATTACCGAGAGGGCCCAGACATACCTCTCCGATAATCGGAGTGACAAATCCTAACCTCGATCTATACCAACTCAACAAGTACCATCGGAGACACCTGTAGAGCACCTTTATAATCACCTAGTTATGTCGTGACGTCTGGTAGCACACAAAGTGTTCCTCCGTTATTCGGGAGTTGCATAATCTCATAGTCATAGGAACATGTATAAGTCATGAAGAAAGCAATAGCAACAAACTAAACGATCAAATGCTAAGCTAACGGAATGGGTCATAATCACATCATTCTCTAATGATGTGATCCTGTTAATCAAATGACAACTCACGTCTATGGTTAGGAAACTTAACCATCTTTGATTCAACGAGCTAGTCAAGTAGAGGCATACTAGTGACACTCTGTTTGTCTATGTATTCACACATGTACTAAGTTTCCGGTCAATATATTTCTAGCATGAATAATAAACATTTATCATGATATAAGGAAATAAATAATAACTTTATTATTGCCTCTAGGGCATACTTCCTTCAATGATAGTGTCATTGGCAGAGTTCTTCACCAAGCTACAAAAGCTTCGTGATGAACTATAATATGCAAGGGATGGATAAGACAATTCCCGAGCTCTTCACAATGCTAAAGGCTGCAGAGGTAGAAATCAAAATGGAGCATCAAGTGTTGATGGTCAACAAGACCAGTAGTTTCAAGAAGAAGGGCAAAGGGAAGAAGGGGAACTTCAAGAAGAACGGCAAGCAAGTTGCTGCTCAAGTGAAGAAGCCCAAGTCTGGACCTAAACCTGAGACTGAGTGCTTCTACTGCAAATGGACTGGTCACTAGAAGAGGAACTGCCCCAAGTATTTGGCGGATAAGAAGGATGGCAAAGTGAAAGCTATATTTGATATACATGTTATTGATGTGTACCTTACTAATGCTCGTAGTAGCGCTTGAGTATTTGATATTGGTTCTGTTGATCATATTTGCAACTCGAAACAGGGGCTACGGATTAAACGAAGATTGGCTAAGGACGAGGTAACGATGCGCGTGGGAAATGGTTCCAAAGTCGATGTGATCGCCGTCGACACGCTACCTCTACATCTACCTTCGGGATTAATTTTAGACCTGAATAATTGTTATTTGGTGCCAGTGTTAAGCATAAACATTATATCTGGATCTTGTTTGATGCGAGACGGTTATTCATTTAAATCAGAGAATAATGGTTGTTCTATTTATATGAGTAATATCTTTTATGGTCATGCATCCTTGATGAGTGGTCTATTTTTATTGAAACTCGATAGTACTGATACACATATTCATACTACTGAAGCCAAAAGATACAAGTTTAATAATGATAGTGCAACTTATTTGTGGCACTGTTGTTTAGGTCATATTGGTGTAAAGCGCATGAAGAAACTCCATGCTGATGGGGTTTTGGAATCACTTGATGCTTGCGAATCATGTCTCATGGGCAAGATGACTAAAACTCCGTTCTCCGGAACAATGGAGCGAGCAACAGACTTATTGAAAATAATACATACTGATGTATGCGGTCCGATGATTGTTGATGCTCGCGACGGGTATCGTTATTTTTTCTGACCTTCATAGATGATTTGAGCGGATATGGGTATATCTACTTAATGAAACATAAGTCTGAAACATTTGAAAAGTTCAGAGAATTCAGAATGAAATGGAAAAATATCGTAACAAGAAAATAAAGTTTCTACGATCTGATCGTGGAGGTGAATATTTGAGTTATGATTTTGGTCTTCATTTGAAACAACGTGGAATAGTTTCGCAACTCACGCCACCTGAAACACCACAACATAATGGTGTGTCCGAATGTCATAACCGCACTTTATTAGATATGATGCGATCTATGATGTCTATTATTGATTTACCGCTATCGTTTTGGGGTTGTATTTTAGAGACGGTTGCATTCATGTTAAATAGGGCACCATCGAAATTCGTTGAGACGACACCATATGAATGGTGACATAATTTATACACCATTTTTTTAACGATGATGTGATGTGAAAATATGCAGTCTTTTGTGTTTTTTGTTTAATTTGTTTTAGTCCAATTTGGCTTTTCCTATATCTTGGAATTTGTTTATTTCTAACCAGCCTAATTCCAATTGATTGAATCCTATACAAATCTATAAAGTAAGATATGTACTCAAACTTGTAGTTATTATTGTCCAATAGTTGTGAGAAATAAGCGTTCATCACAAATAGCTTAACATATTAGCAGTGAAAACATCATAGTCGAGTATGCTAAAAGGTCTCACAAAAGCACCTTTTAGATGTAGTGTAAAATGAGCATCAGAAATATGAAGTTTCACAAAGCACCTTCTTGCAGGTATCTTGTGAGCACTTGATTTTAAAGAATGAGATTACCTTGTGGTCGAGTAAACAGTATCATCATTGCCGCATACGTATCTTGAATAAGTTGTGTATTTGTGATTAATTGCTATGAGCGAGTGTGCTTTGCTTTGTGCTATTAGGATGTAAATCACACTATAAAGAAAGTTGTGGCATCCTTCCAAGAGCAAAGGCATTGTAATTCCACATGTTCAAATTTTGTTTTTACACATTCAACTTCCATGTTCATGTATGTATATAAATAAAAAAATTCCTAGCATCCTATCGAAGAAATGGATGGGCACAGCAACACGCGCCATCATGGTCTAGTTGATAGTATAGTGGCAACGAGGAGCTTTTCCAGCAGGGGTGTGGCATGGTGGAGCGGTGGCGGCGGCAAAAAAGAAAGAAGGAAGGAGAGAAAATGGAGGCGATGGAGTCGCAGGGCCCAGGAAGGGTTTTGGGTGAGCCTGGGGTGTCGTATTCTTATGTTTCACATGTCCGAACTCACATAAAGCTCCCACATTTTTGTCTCCGTTTTGCGGAAGGAATCACGTTCGGACCGTCTCAAAAACCGATATAGGCCCGTGTTGAATGACGCCCACGGTCCGGACAGTATGGTTCTGACGGATGCGGGCAGTTTATGGGTCCACCGAGAATCAAACACAGAGCTCGGACTTTTTTTTACGAGGATAACACAGAGCTCGAACTATACACACAGAGGCACTGTACTGTGTAGAAACTGTGTACAGCGGCGCCCACGGTGTGGATGTTGGCCCACAGCAAGCCAGGCCCTCTCAATGCTGGCCTAGATATTGCGGCCCGGAAAGAGCGAAATGGAAATGCCGGCCCAGCTTGTGAACTGGACACGGACCTCCCGTCCCATGCGAGCTTCTCCGTCGGTCTCCCGGGCGAGACACGACGGCCGGCGAGACCCGCGCCGGCTACCAGCCACGCCGCCGCGTCCGGAGAGAGTCGGGGATGTTCGGGTTGCAGGCGAGAGGCGCGGCGGCTTCGTGGGTGGTGGGGCGGACGGGCATGGACGCGCTCCTCTACGACGACGCCGCCGCCATCCCGGCGCTCCTCGACTCACCTCCTCGTCGTCATAGCGCACGGCGTTGACGTCGCCCTAATCTCCCCGCAGGTTCTGCTCGGTCAAATGCCCCCCTCCTCTCGCCCCCATGTGCCGCGGGTCCTGACTGGATTTCTACTAGTGGCTGCGTCCTGCGCGCAGGTTGCCAAAGAACGTGGCGGCGCAGTCGTCTGCCTCCACTCCCTGCGCCGTCGCTGGAGGTGAAGAAGCTATTCTACCTCTACCTGAGTCGCCAGATTGCTAACAAGAGAAGCAAAAGGGGGCCTGGAAGCTTGACTCGCTCGGTCGCCGCTCCACCGCCCGTCACCAGTTCGACGAAATGCCGCCTACCCTCCTCCTTTGGTGTCTCTGTACACGCCGGTTTAAGAGTATCATAATTGGCGGTGACAGGTCGTTGTTCTTATCTGAATTTTGACCCTTCAACCTTTCAACAATATAACTGCCCCCAATTGTAGTGGCAGATAACAATTGATAAACACGTTTACCTTAATAATTGCCCCCAATAGGCAGCCATAAGAGTCATCCCCAGTTGAGCATATGAAAAGAAGAATTGAACTTCCACTGTGCAATCAAAGTCATGATGTTAATTTGACTGAGTCTTTCATTCAACCTTCCTGTTAGCAGCCCCTATCGGTCCACCCAATAAGCAGCCCGGACCACATATAAAAGGTAGAACTGAAGGGTATCATCACCATCTCCTTACTAACCTTGTTTTCTCAGGTTCAAGGTCTTTGGAGGTTGGGCCTGCTGCACGGAGAGCCATGGCCTCCAAACAGACGGCTCCGATTATGAATCAAGGACAAGGGGAAACTAGCTATGCTCACAACTCTAGTATTCAGGTATTTTCTCCTCTACTGATTAATTTGGTAGTGTTGTTTCTACGATCTCCTGAAACTTGGCTTCCGAAGGTTGTCTCGCCAAGAATTTGAACATAATTATGTACTATCTTATATATTCACTACAGCACGCTTGATATTCCAAGGCAGTCTAAATCGCCCCCAAAAGACACAAAAAATGCTTTCTAATCATTCATGCGGCGTTTTCTTAAAACACACTGTCCGTGTTTTACACAGAAAATTAACCTAAGCCCTAAACCCATTAGCCAGAACTAGTTGTGATTTCTGAATTAGTAACCACGTTTCCTCCTTTTAAGTACGTTGAACTCTTGTTGGCTAAGCAGTATGGGACTAATAGAAAGAATGTTGCTAGACTCGAACACAGTAACGGCCAAAACATTGTAGCACACTAACAACCACGTGAGTATATTAGTAGCTAATACAGATATACATGGGCACGTCCCACGATCTGTATAGCGTCCTATCCGCATAACACGAAGGCAAGAACAGCCTGGTTGTGCATTCAGCCTCTGCCCCCAACATTGGGATTAAACGGCGACACCTAGTAGGCCGGAAGCAAGAGTCTCACGCAAGCTGACTGAAAAGTCGCATCGCAGGCTCGGCCGCCTGTCCATTGCACCAGCTGCAAATATGGCCAGCTCACAGACTGACCATCCTGCCGCACCATCCAACCCTCTGAGCGCAGCGCCACGTTTGGAGGTGATTTCTGAGAAACGCCACAATCGATTAAGAGGCGTTTGTGAGAATCGCCTCAATATCTCTTCCAATTTCAGGCTTTTTTGAAAAACGCTTCCAAAGATGCATACGATCTGAGGCGATTTTGTAGAAGGCCTTAAGATAGAGATGATTTAAGGCGACTCCCTCGAAACTCCTCCTTAAACACGGTTTTGAGGCGTTTAGAAAAACACCCTGGCCAAAACGCCTTCTTTCAACAACCATGTTGTAGTGACTACTGGCATTTAAACTAACCGGATTATGCAATATAAGAACAAGAATTGAAATAGATTTGGATTTTCTGAATAAGTACATGTCAACTACAGAACGCTGAGCAGAACAAGATGAAATCCTTGATTGAAGCGGTCGTCGTTGAATTATGCAGCAACACCGGCACCTTGCAGCCTGGGAAGATGGTAATCGTGGACTTGGGCTGCTCCACTGGTCCAAACGCGCTTGCACTGGTATCGATTGCTGTCGAGGCGATCCACGCTCACTGTCTTCAGTTCCAGCAACCATCACCAGAAGTGTCTGTGCTCCTCAACGATCTTCCTGAGAACGACTTCAACACGGTGGTGAAGAGCCTAGTCACGCTACGTCAAAGCAACGATCCTGTTGTTGTGACCGGTATCACGCCAGGGTCGTTTTATGAGCGGCTCTTCACTAGTGAATCTGTGCATCTTGTTTGCTCGTCCAATAGCTTGCATTGGCTCTCAAAGGTGCGAGTCTGATGCTACTTTGCTGGATCGATCCTGTTAAATTACTCGCTGACTCTGTAAGCAAAACCTTATCTTGGCAGGCTCCAGAAGATCTTAAAACGAATCTCATCCCAGCATATGACATTGATGAGCATTCTAGGCATGAAAGGCTTCCTATAGTGCTTGAGGCTTATGCAAAACAATACAGGAAAGATTTCACACTTTTTCTGAAGCTGAGAGCCAAAGAGTTGGTCTCAGGAGGCCGAATGATTATTTCGCTGCTAGGGAGGCGTTCTGATATAATCGCCACCAAATTCCCTTTCCTTCCAGAAATTGTAGCTCAGATTCTATGTGTCATGGTCTCAGAGGTACATTTCAATACTTTCTTTTCTAGCATGCATCTTTAGCGATCGAAGGTGTGAGTATTATATTCGACCTCATGATCTTATGGTTGTATTAACAGGGTGTGATCGACAAAGAAAAGTTTGATTCCTTTTATGCATGAACCTTCGCTTGAAGAGCTGAGAGAGATCATCCAAGAAGAGGGCTCCTTTTCAATCAGGGAGATGCGGGAGCATGACCCTAGAACCGATATAAATAAGACTCTCAGCACCCCAGGCATATTCGCGGGATTTCTGAGATCTTTGTTTGAGCCGGTAATAGTCCAACATTTTGGATATGTCATGGATGAATTCGTGAGGACCGTGGAGCGGCGGTATATCCTAGAGGGAAGCTTGCAAGAGGAGCGCGCCAAATGCCCTTATGTTATGCTGGTCGTATCCCTCACAAAGGCATGATTATCATGTACCTTTAGGTACATGACATTTGATGACAGTGAAACTGATGCTTTCTTTGAGGCCAATTGTGTGCCCACTTGATTATGTAAACTACACCCATGGTACGCTTTGAAGAATTAAACATTGTGATGTATAGCGTATGCACAGTTTTTAGGAAACCCTTTGTTTTACGGAACATGGTCATGGGTGAATTCGTAAGGGCCGATGAGAAGCACCAGAGCCAGGAGCCCAGCTTGCAAGCTGTGTGCCAAAAACCCGAGAGGGATGCTCGTTGTATCGCCTACCAAGGTATTGTGTGACTTCTTAGCTTTGTATCTGTCAACATGGCATGACATGTTTCTAAAATTGAACATCAAATTCAATCATATTTGCGGGAGACAAAAAATATAAATACCTGCTGAAGTACTATTTCTATTATCGTTGCCAAGTGTTTGTATTTCCCCCTCATCAGATAATGTGGTTGACTTTGATATTGTAGTTCTCCTGCGGTATAGGAAATTCCCTTCTGTTCATATGGTAATTTGAAAAACACAATCGGACTCCTTACTAGTACACCAATGAATTTATCTTCAAAAGAAAGGTTGCATTTGTACTGCTCTAAATTATCCGAAATGTTTTTTTTTCATTGGATCGCATGCTAACAGTTTAACCAGATGTATGGAGTTTAGACCTGCTCCAGGCAAAGCCTCTGCCTCCAAATAGGTGGTGGATATGAATCAAGGTCCTTGAATATTCAAGGACACGTCAAAACAATATGCTCACAACTCTGGTTTTCAGGTATATTCTCTTTCCTCTTGACTAACTAGGCATGAAACAGTTTGGATTATTTCTCCAGTGCATTGATTCATTCATATGCCTGGTCACCAATTATTTGACTGCTTGATGTATATATGTATTAGTTCTGTAGTTGCTTGTGAACAATCGCAATTCCAGAAGGTATTTCTGCATAAGCACCAAACAAAAACTAGGTGAACAGTGGGTGTAAATAAAGAACTCTACATATTACTACTTACTACACAACAAAATGTTGCATTGGTGCTGCTCTAGAATGTCTATTTCATTGGATTCCATTTTGACAATTTAACCGGATACAAATAGCAAGCCTGCTAATTAAAAAATGTCGCCTCTGCTAGTGACAGGCTGTTTGTATTATATGCTGATCAGAATTTGACCCCATTCATGTCTTTCCACCATCCCTTTAAGCTTTTAAAAATCCTACCTTTCAACTCAAGCGGTTTATGTGTTGATTGTGTTAAGCTTCATGCACTAGCCAACACAACCAAAAGTCCGAACTTATGGAAAGGGCTAGGCAATCCACATATACACTTCAACACCCCCTCTCACATGTGACACGGAAAGCCAACACGTGGATAGATTCAGAGGTATGGCTCAAGAGGCCTATATGTGGACAAGGGGGGCATCAGCAATCAACAGATTAAACCCATTGCCTTCTCAATCTGGTTCTTGCAGATTAAGGACTCTAGCCTAGCTTTGTTCCAAGCAAAGTCATGGCTTCCAAGCAGACGGTGCATATGAATCAAGGACAAGGGGAAACAAGCTATGCTCGCAACTCCGGTATTCAGGTACCTTCTCTTATCTCGATTAATTCATCGATCTATGCTAACCTGTTCTTTGACTCTTGCCTTCTCAATACATCCTTTCATTGCTGAGATTAAAAAGATTTTTTAGTGAAGTTAAGAAAGCATACCATTTAGCTAAAGGATTAAACAAGATTTTCTGAAGAGTTAAAACTCTATTGCAGAATGCTCTGCAGAACAGGCTGAGCCCCTGATAGAAGCAGCCGTCGTTGAGTTATGCAGCAAGAATAACACCTCATTCCCTGAAAAAATGCTGATCGCGGACTTGGGCTGCTCCTCTGGACCAAACGCGCTAGCACTGGTATCGATTGCCGTCGAGGCCATCCATAGCCACTGCCTTCAGTTACAGCAGCCACCACCTGAAGTGTGCGTGCTCCTCAATGACCTGCCTGACAATGACTTCAACACTGTGGTGAAGAACCTGGTCATGCTCCATCAAAGCAACAAGCCTGCTGTTGTGACTGTTGGGATCACGCCGGGGTCGTTTTATGAGAGGCTCTTCACTAGTGGCTCCATGCATCTTTTATGCTCGTCCAACAGCCTGAATTGGCTCTCAAAGGTGCGAGTTTGATACTGCTCGATGGATCGATCCATTTCAATTAACTTTTGATTCTGTAAGTAAAATCTAATCCCTTGCAGGTTCCTGAAGATCTAATGAGGAACTGGATTCCGGCTTACGACGTTGATGAGCATGCTAGGAGTGAAAGGCTCCCTATGGTCCTTGAGGCTTATGCACAACAATTCAGGAAAGACTACACTCTTTTCTTGGAGCTGAGAGCCAAAGAACTAGTCTCAGGAGGCCGGATGGTTGTTTCCCTTGCAGGGAGGCGTTCTGATGGCCGTGCTTCGAAATTCTCTCACGTGTGGGAAATCTTTGCTCAAATTCTAAGTGTCATGGCCTCGGAGGTACATTTCTTTACTGTTTTTCCTACAGCCATTATATCGGTTCCTACTGAACGCGCCTATTTGCACTCTCGGTCTCGTGCCATGATTGACAGGGCGTGATTGACAAAGTGAAGTATGATTCGTTCTACGTGCCGGTGTATGGACCTTCGGATGAAGAGCTCCGGGAGATCATCCAAGCAGAGGGCTCCTTTTCGATCACCAAGATGCGGGTGCACGACTTTTCACGGGGTCGGGACAACGCTCTCATCACCACAAGCTGGTACACGAACCAGATGAGAGCCGCGTTTGAGCCGATAGTCGTGCATCATTTCGGAGATGTGATGGATGAATTTGTGAGGACCGTGGAGCGGCGCTGGAGTGTGGAGGGAAGCTTGCAGGACGAGGTTGGCAGATACCCGCGGGCTCAGCTTGTGGCGTCGCTCACGAAGAAGGCGTGCTGATCAGGTACCTTGGCTATGTCGCTCATCGAGGGACGCCATATTTGATGAGACTGAAACATTACCTTCTCGTTTCAAAGAAACAATGTACTCCCTCTGTAAACTACTAATAAAGAGCGTTTAGATCACTTAAATAGTGATCTAAACGCTGGGAAATACCCAATGGTTCCTGGTTGTATATGCACCCTATACGGGGACTTTTTAAAAATATTTTTATAAAAAGTCAAAATAGGTAAGAACTATTTTACAAAACACTTGACTTACTTTTGCACTAGTATATAAATTTTCACGAAAAAAAACAAAAGTTGACCTCACAGCAAAAAAGACAAAAATTTATTTGCTATTATAGGTCACTATTCACACTATTTTAGCCAAAAAATTGTCTTTTTTGAAAAGAAGTCAAAGGGATATTTTCTTTTTGTGGATTTTTTCTCACAGGTACAGCAGAAGGTCAAGTTTATTTCAAAAATATTTTCAGAATTTTTTGACTTTTTGTTGAATTACTAAAAAAATCTCTTATAAGGTGTATATGTCCCCATAGACCACAAATCGTCCTCCTCTAAACACTGTTATATTAGTTTACGGTGGGTCATTAAAGCACATCCTTTTGTAGGCTACCAGGCTATCATCCACAACGATTAGTTAGTAGCAAAATGTTGTTTCACAGGCAGTTGTGATGTAGACTAGCGTGTATGTCGTATGCACATGTGTGAAGCAATAATATTCCCATTGACTACCAACAGCAGCGGCCGCCTGCCCACGGAGACGCTTATGCTGGCGTCTCGTGACCGACCAGTTTGGGGCTCTCTGGAGCACGATGCAGACAGGGCTCGGATCGCCGGCCAAACAGCACCACGCTTCACATATTCTCTTCTCCTTGCTGCTATGAGCACATCATGTACGTTTGTTTCTGGTCGGCTGACACGTTTAGTTGGAGAAGCACGCGCGTACGTGCGTGCTCGTATGGCAATGAGGAGGAGGAGAAGGAAAAGTCGTATCCATTGTGCTTTCGTTCTAGAAAGGAGTTCACTACAGGCTGCAACAAAACTTACCATCCACAACGTAATGGCAGTGAAAATGTGCGAAAAATCAAGGGTGAAATGTTCGCTTGCAAGTTCAGATTCATGTTCAACTGCACAATTTTCTCCTGCAGAGGAAAACTGCACCATAAGTCGAATCATTTCAACAGCAACAACAGAAACTGCGCGATAATCCTGGAAATTTCTTTTTTCCGTTTAGTTTCTTTCTCGGTTTTTTTCTTTCTCACCGTTTCTAGGTTTTTCGATGCACCAAGAACCGGGAAGATGATGGAAGGATTCCTCTGCTTCACATGCATTGGTAATTGGTTGCACGTGTTTGTCACTTGCCACGAAGAAACACTGCATGCAACAGTACAACGTACGAAAGGCCATATATATATAGTGGACTAAACGTGCTAAATGGCTTGTGCGGATAGCACTTGTAGGTCTTTCCCACTACTAGCACGTTTTTAGCATTGTCCTGCTAATTGGTTATTTCAGCTATAAAATCTGGGGGTGAGGTTTAGTTCTGCTCGAACAAACAATGGCATCCAAGCAGATGAAGCAGATGGTGCATATGAATCAGGGACAAGGGGAAACAAGCTATGCTCGCAACTCTAGTATTCAGGTACCTTCTTCTCATATCTTGATTGTCTCACAAGTTATGGTTCTAGGACTGGCGTTGACGACCGACTTCTCGCAACTATCTCATCAACAACTTACATAAAATTTAGATTTTTTTTTCATC